TCATGATAGTTTTGAATCAGATAACGTGCACCACCTGTAAAAGACGATGGCAAAACTATCCTTTTTCCTGCATTTGCAGCATCAGTTTCTCCGCGAAGTATTGTATCTGTAAGTCCTCTATACATCTCAGCTCTTACGTCTTTTTGATGTGTTTTGTACCAATTCAATCTTGAAGACTTTACCATGCTATATGCATCAACCAAAAATTGCTGAAACAATCTTCTGAAATGTAGTAAAAATGGATGCTCTGACTCTCTGTTGAATCCTATATGCAAACCACTCTCTGACTGGAACTTTTTGTCTAGCATTCGTGGTCTCATTAATGAATTTTAATGGTATTCCTGGATGAAATCCATCATCTCCTTGTGGAAACAAAATTGGATACTGTAAAGGTAGATACGATGGCATTGTCAAATAAACACGTTGCAAAAGCCCCATCCTCTCCTCTACGATAATATCTCGTTCAGCATCTGCAGAATCAAAATCACCCACAATAAGTGCCGCCACTTCAGATGCAGTTGGCAGATTGTGTGTTCGACAATCACGTCCTCTTTTACTTATAAGCCTTAATTTCAAATGGTGAACATTTTCTTCTTGTAGCTTGTCGCGGACCATCCTATAAGTTTTGGCATATGGATTAAACTCATCAAGTGCTTCTTTGATGTCACTAATAATAGATGCCCTCAATGATGATCTGTCATTTTCCATGCTGTAAATACAATATAGAATGTAAAAGTAAGAAAATAATAGTAAATAATATTTAAAATTCAGCAATTTAAAACTACTTATTTAGAAATAAACTTTTACCTAACAGAATTCATTCGGTTATTAATTTCATTCTCTATGTCATATATATATAATTGAGCAAAATTTGGTTTTGATCCAAGAGGTGGCAGCAAACTTCCTATTTGATGATAATTCTCACCATTCATTACAAACATTGGGGGTCCATTCCCATCATTTATATCATTGACAATTTTACCTCCCATAAATGTGAATGAAAACATCATATTGAAAGAACGGATATGCTTCAAAAAATGCTTGTTTTTTCTATCATTGTTTAGAAAGAGATCTCTAATAATTGGTGGAGGATCTAATAATTTATCAAGAGAAACCTTTCCCTGTAAACAACACATTGAGAACTTTGGGTTTTCAGAATTATGATGTTTTTCGAGTCGTTCTTCGTACCACATCATGGCACCACAATGTCGACAACTCCATCTTGGATCATCGATGTCCCAATAATCTGCGCAAGTTCATTAGTATTTATTAAATAAATTAGCTCCACTTATACTTTTCTTTAATCTCGTACATATAAGGGATAGATCAAATCCATTTCAAACATCACTTTTAATAAGATAAGATACGACATATTTCAAACAAACCTTCACTTAGACTTGAACTATATTCACATTCAGCTAACTCACTATGAATTTCATTTTCTTCATCATCTTCAATTGCATTTCCTATGAAAGATATAAAAAGTAATAATTATGTGTTTTATTAAATACACAATTTCATAAATTACTATTGTATATATTGTTTATCAACCATTTTGATTTGTTTGCAAGATAGAAAGGTTCAACTGTGCTTTTTGTTCATGACCATTCCTTTCGTGCTGTCTTTGTTCTGCAGCATCATATAAGAAAAAATGAAAGTGTTGGATTTTATATTAGCACGATAAAAATAAATAATAAGAGACAGGTGTATTGGCTATTATTTGTTAATAGAAAAACTAACACATTATCTACAATTATTTAATTAAGTAAATAATACTAGGTAAATGCTGCAGAATAGATTCAATAGGTCTACTTTGAGTAATATCATCAACATTATCATGAAACAAACATCATCCAATTCTTGTACCACACAAAACAAATCTTTTAGGATGGTTTGATTTGTTATTTGAATAGGTAGTATAAGTACCATATGTATCAGGATTTACATTTTCATCACCTATCATTTGCAAATCTGAACGTGTAGACAAAGTAGGACTTGCTTTATTAAATATAAAAATAATTTACAAATAAATAAAATTATCATAGGAAGTAGTGTAAGTTAAAAGTTGACAAAGTAGTTAAAATACACATCTATAAAATTAGTATAATATGTATTTTTAGAATGATATAATGATGATTTACCTCCGTGATCAGACAAATCAATATGACCATTACGATGCAAGATAGAAGAGCCTGATGTATTTGCATTTATTATGACAAATTTACCAGGTCCTATCTTTTTAGATTTCCAGCTACCCTCTATTGGGGCTGAAGAAATATTGTGAGTATTTTGCAAGACATCACTACACCTATTTCGAGTACAGAAGTTAAAATGTTGAACTTCATGGATGGCTGAAAGCAACATAAATATACTTAAGGCATGTAAATTAGAAATCATGCAATGAGTATTAATAGTATTTAACAGAAAAATATAAAAAGTACCTTCTAGAGAGGCCATATCTGAATATGCTGAAGGAGATTTTTGGTAATCATATTTAGAATTATTTGCCGATTGACGTAACAGAGTACCATTACTCAAAATAAATCGCCCAACTGATATTTTTCTTTCATTCATATGGCCTAAAGCTGAAGGAGACATTTGGTAACCAAGTTTACTGCAATTTTCCGATTGACGTAACGGGGTACCATTATTCAAAATAAATCTCCTAGCTGATATTTTTCCTTCCCTCATATGGCCTAAATCTTTTAATATAAAAAATATAGTCAAAATCAGTATGTTCGATAGTGAAATGTATATTGCAACACAAACACGTATACAATGTCAATAGATGAAAACTAATACATATACGTATATACCATTTGAGATGTTGGACAACGGAAATCTTTCGAAGCTACTATGAACAGAGATGGTTTGAAGTGCAGTGTTTTTTGTTTGCAGACTCGTCGGTTCAGAAGCGATTGACATATAAGTATTTTCTGAAGGGCTGGACAGGTTGCCACTTAACTTCGCGCGTTTGCTGACACGCTGTTCAAATTCCTCCATTATCGTACTTTAAAACAACATCTTATGTTCTGCATTGAGGATTAGGATATTAGATATTGAAAATGGTATATATAATAATATGTGCCTTAATGAAGGTTGGATCTATTTATACTAAAATCGGGATGATAATAGTGTTATTAGAAACTGCATCGGAAATCGTAAAAGAATTGAAAAGGTAGATTCAAAGAATGGAGAAAAGTAGAAGTAGACAAATTTTGAGAATTCATCGTTCCTTACACCGTCTCAATATTTAGCCGTCTCACTATTAAAGAGGTGGATGTAATTACACAATTTACACAAATACTTATAAAAAAATCATTAATAATTTTAGATGACAGTCTCCATTAACCTAATTAGGGGTGTTTAAATCCAAACCAATCCAAATAAAAAACCGAAAACCGATCCAAAAAACCGAAAACCATAAAAAACCGAAAGTTATTGGTTGTGTTTGGATGTTATTTTATGAAAACCTATCGGTTCAGATTGGATTTCGGATGAATTTTTCAAAACCGATCCAAACCAAACCGAACCGCATAAATATATTTTGATACTTATTTACTTTTTATTAGTATGACATTTTATGTGAATTTATTATTAGATGATAATAATTTTTTTAATAATATTTATTAGTTTGATATAATCTATTTATTTTTATTATTTCAAGCATAATCAATCACTCTCATTTTGTAATATTAACTTTTAATATACTATATGTTATATATTATATCAAATCTATGATTTATTAGTAGTTTTATAATATTAATAAAAATATAATGTGTAATTTGGATATCCAAAAACCGATCCAAATTAAACCGCATAAAATTGGATCGGATCAGATTGGATTTTTTTTAAATATATCATCCAAAACCGAACCGAATCTTAAGTGAATTAATCTTTGGATCGGATGAGTTTTTGCTTTAAAACCGATCCAAACCGAACCGTGGACACCCGTAAACCTAATATTTATTACTAACCTAATACTTATAAAATAATATTTTATATTTAATATAGTAGTTAATTTGAAGATTTTTTATAATATTGGTATTGTATAGCAATTATTACTAACCTAATATTTATAAAAAAATATTTTACATTTAATACAGTAGTTAATTTGAAGATTTTTTATAATATTGGTCTTGTATAGCAATTATGAAGGTGTAAAATAATCAAATATTATTTAGTAATTTAAAAAATATGTAAATTATTTTAGATAAAAAATATTCGTATTAAATTTGAAAATTATTTTTTGACAATGAATTTATAATAAATCAAATGTTTGTATTTAATACTTTTTAAAAGAAGAGTAAGGGTGGTGGTTAAATAAACAAAAGATATTTAGTTTTGGTTAAAATGAGGTTGAGTTTTAGGTGGGATGCAAATTCTTAGGCATTTAAAAGGGAGACTGACTTGTGTATTTTAAGAAAATTATTCATGCATTGTTACCTGAAACGTCACCCTAACTAATTAGGTGGTAGAGTAATAACATTAATTACAATAATAATAATATTATTATTATTTTTATATTATTTTATTTTATTAGAAAGAGTGATTGAGTTTGAGATTTAGGCGGATTGGATTTGAGAATTAGACGGCAAAATAGTAGCATAGTATTTTGCCTTAATATATTAAGAATTAAGGATATAAAATCACCACTCAATCCTATCATATCATTAATTTAAAAATTAATGATATAATTTGACGATATATATTATATAATATATATCAGTGATTGATTGATAGTGTTAAATAAATACATATTTATTTAGAAAAAAAAGATATTTATTCTTAGTATATGAAATCCTCTTTTAAAACATAAATATTTTCAATAAATATTATTATCGTAGTTGGAGAATAGAAATAAGATCTTCATTAAAAGCAAAAACAAGAAGCGTAACGTAAGGTGTGACGCACGGTATATAAGCATATCGTTAACATATCCTAGTTTTATAGTGCACCGAAAGAGACGCATTCTATCGTGGACTCCGCCTCAGCAACTAATGTGTTGCTGCTGGTATGTATGTAAATGTTCATGCACGCACGCACACACGCCTTTGAATTCCATCTTCGCACACACATCTCTCTATCTCTATCTCTAACTCTAACCCAACCAACCGCTACTTTTCACTTTCTTTATATTTTTCTCATTCTCACTAAAAACACAGTCACGTGTCTGCGATTCAATCTCGTCTCATTCCGTTTTTTTTTCTTTTTCCACTCGCTCCTTTCACCACCACACTTCACACTTCTACATGCTATAGTTCTTATCTTTCAATTCTCTTTTCTCTTCTTCTTCTCCACCAAACTTTTCGCTTCGTCTCTCTCTTATCGGTATCGCTCTTCTTCTTCCTCGAGATTCTCGTTTTCCGTTCATCTTCAAAATTTTATTCGCATCTATGTCTTCATTTTTTTTTAATTCTGCTTTGAATTTCATGCTGTTGATTTGTTTATCTTAATCTTCTGCTTAGCTAGAATCTCTACTAATTGAGTGAAAACGCAGTTGATTTTGATTTTTGATTCCTAAAATCCAACCTAGCGTAAGTTGACTTCGCGTGCAACTGTGTTATCGTTTAGTTTCTAGATTCGTTAAACTTTGTAGTAGTATAATTTTGTTAATTCGTTCTTGAAATTAGTACTGTGATGAAATAGATATAGGGCCTGTTTAGATAAATAGCTTATTTGCAGCTTATAAGTGCTTATGAATAAGCTCGAATAAGCTAGACAGATTTAAATTGTTTAAATTGTTTTTATATATGTTATAAGTTGTTTTCATTAGCTATTTTGAAGAATTTATAAAAATAAGTTCCAAAAAATTTATGAAAAATATCATAAGCTGATTTGATTAAGTCTCGCAGACGAATTCACAAAACTTATGGCAGTAGATAAGCTCAAATAAGCCCATCCAATCAGACCTATAGTTTTTCATCTATGATAAAAATTGAGGTAAAAATACAGTAGAAATGATTTTTGTTAGTTGTCATAGGAAATAGTGGAAATTCAAGTAGTCAAATATTTCCTTCTAGATATGTTAGGTGGGGGAGAGTAGTTAACTGTGAATGCTTGATTTTATGATTTTTGATTAATTTGAAGTTAATATGCAAAAAAAATTTGATTGTGGATGCTTATTTTTACTGTTGTTGGTGTTAGGATCATCATTTGAAGATTTGAAGAGGAGAGAGGGGAGCAGTTTGATAAACTATGGCTTTTAAGCCGGCGGTTTGGTATTGTCAGCCGGTTGAAAATGGAGTATGGACAAGAACAGTTCAGAATGCCTTTGGGGCTTACACTCCGTGTGCGGTTAACAATTTGGTGATTGGTATTTCTCATTTGGTGGTTTTAGGATTGTGCGTCTACCGCATATGGTTGATTAAGAAGGATTCCAAATTCAAAAGGTTTTGTTTAAGGTCAAATATCTACAATTATGTTCTGGGGATTTTGGCTGCATATTCTGTGGCTGAACCTTTATACAGATTGATTATGGGAGTATCAGTTCTAAATTTAGACGGGCAGTCTCAACTTGTTCCGTTTGAGGTGAGCATGTGTTTCTATGATTTGATTTCTTTTATCTTATTAATGTTTCATATAATTGAAATTTGAAAGTGCTTTTCCTTGTTTAAGCTGTTCAGGTTATCATTTTTGCACACAATACCTACCTTTTATTTCTTCTGTTTAGACATTAAAGCTGTAGTATTATTTATTGACAGATAACTTCACTGATTGTTGAGGCTTTTGCCTGGTGCTCTATGCTGATTTTGCTTGGGATTGAAACTAAAGTCTACATCTATGAATTCCGATGGTTTGTCCGATTTGGTTTGATTTATGCTGTTGTAGGGGATGCTGTTATGTTCAATTTCATCATTTCTGTCCAGCAACTTTATAGCAGGTTTGTCCACATGACATTTCTTATGTTACGTGGCGTGTTGCTAATAATGGTACCATGTTCATTATCTATTGAGACTTCATAAATTTCGGGGTTTCCTGTCCAGGTTAAACTTTATTAGAAAGATGAATGAGTACAAAAATGGAATACATATATCATCTTTAGAAAAGCTGAAAGAAGATAACAAATAAGCTGATCAATATGCATATCTATTAGGGAGGCTCCTTCTACTATATTATAATTACCATCTTCGTTTCATGGCATGCCCTCGTATTCCTCTCCCCTACTCACCCAAAAGTGATGTATCAACCTAGAAATAGAAATATCTCTGTATTGCGATTCCTATCCATCATTTCCTGTTTCTTTCTTCATTTTTAAGTCAATATTTTTAAAAAGGGACCATCTAATCTAATGACAGACATGTTTTGTGCATTTGTAGATTTATATTACTGTATGACTAAGTATATCAATCAATGGGAACGGATCAATCCATAGTTTTTATCTGCTTCATGTTCAAAGCTATATGTTTTTCCTGTCATTGTTTTTCTCAATCTAACATTTTTGTTTCCTTTACAGATCTGTGTTATATTTGTACATCAGTGAGGTGATCTGCCAGGTATTCTGCACTCCTCAAATTTAGTGTGATCGTTGGCTGTGTTTTTATTGTTAAACTAACTGGGATATTGAGTGGGAGGGATAGTCCAACTGGTTTGAATTAGTTGAACTAAGGGTTAAAGGAGTTGGAGGTCTAGGATTCAATCACTGGCAGAGGTGTAAATATAATACTAACTACTAACAATTTGTCATTAAAAAAACTGGGTTGATACTTTAATGTTCTCTTTGCAAATCCAAAACACACTTTTGAAGCTAGCATTTAGGCTCATGATTACTCTTGTGGCCCTTGCAAAGCTTTTAAAATAAATGCTACTTTGTGTCTAAAGTTGACTTTACTTTCTTAATTGGTTCAGAGTGGACGTTTGTTAAAATACAAGCTTTCTCCTTTGAATTGTTTTGTTGCATAATCCTGTAATGTGTTTTAAAATGGAATATATAGGAACATTTGAAAGCATAGAGTCCGTGAATTGCTGGCTACCGAGATATGGTAGCTCGGATCAGTTTGGCTCCATGGATGTGCATTTATACTATCTAAGAATGTCTTGACCAAAACAAAAACTATCTAAGAATGTGTGGTGCAACTTGTACAAGCCTGTCCCAAAAATTACATTGAACGTACACATTAACCTGACATTACTCTTTAAGGCTTCCTTCAAGCTACTCCCTCTGTCCCTTTGTATAAGCATTTTACATAAGCATTTTTTTACTTTTTCACATATATTGATATTGGGAGAAACCCAAGTCCCACATTGGCTAAAGATAGAGAGGGCCTACAAAGGGTTTATATCGAGTGACACCCCTCACCTTACAAGCTGGTTTTGTAAGGTTGAGTTAGGTCAAACCACAATTTTAAGATGGTATTAGAGTCCATGTCAAGATCTGTTGGATCACCTGCTATCAAGTTTTTGCTATCGGGCACCCACCGTTTATATCCACAATCCAAACCCAATTGTGTTGCGTGTGAGGTGAATGTTAAGAGTCTCACATCAAATAATATGTGACCTAAACATAGGAAGTCCTCCCCTTACAAGCCAGATTTATAAGGCTAAGTTAGGCTCAACCACAATTTTAAGAAGGTATCAAAGTCCAAGATCCGTTGGGCTACCTGCCAGGGCTGTTCATGGTTCAGTTCAAGGAGATAACAAAACCGAACTGCACTGAACCATAACGAATTTTTTAAAAACCGAACCGTTATAATTTTTTCTAGAACCGAACCGAACATAATTAATGGTTTGGTGAACTGTTTGTTAATTTTGAACCGAACTGAACCGTTATTAGTAATTGTTTTAAAAACTGAACTGTTTTATGTTTTATACGATGAAGTAAAATGTTATACATCTTTTGAATTTTTTTTTAATAAAAAACTTTTTTGACAATTTTCTTACAATTTTATATTTTTGTTTATTACTTTTTTTATTATATTTTCAAACTAATTATAGAATTGGGTTTATATTAAAAATAATTTTAAAACAATACAGTACAGAAATATTATAAATTTTAAGTAAAGAAATATTATAAATTTTAATTAGCATTTGCCTTCATAAAAAACCTATAAGTTTTTTTAAAAAATAATAGCTCTTCATTCCAACAAGATTATATAGCCAGCATAAATTTTAAAAATTACGAGAATCACTAACCTGCAACCGTAAATCAACAACTGTAAGTAACAACACAGTTACAGTATATATTCTATGTGGTTTGGTTTTAAACGGTTCGGTTTGGTTACTCACGGTTCAGTTTCAGTTCGGTAACTGTGGTTAAACTCACAGTTCGGTTCGCGAACTATTATAATAAGTTCAGTTATTTTTGGTTCGGTACAGTTCGGTTTGGCAGTTCGTTACGGTTCGCGGTTTTTTTTTAACACCCCAACTACATGCTATCAGGTTACCGCTATTCGGCCACCTCTACCATTTATGTATACGCACCAAGCTCGATAGTGCTGGGCGTGAATGTGTGTGTTAAAGAGTCCCACATTGGAAAGGATTTGGTCTCAACATATGTTTACAAGTGAGGACAGTCCTCACCTTATAAGAGGTTTTGTAGGGATGAGTTATGTCAAATTTTAATTCTAACAATTAAGAAAAGCGGTTGGTGAATTTAATATGCATCTTATCCTCCTTTTATTTATATTTTCCTTCAATGACAACTTTTTATGTAAAGGAAAGTAACATTATCTCCTCTCGGGTCCAGGTTTTGTTTGGAGTACTTTTGCTTGTGTATGTCCCTACTTTGGATCCTTATCCGGGCTATACCCCCATTGGTACTGAAGTTGATACTGATGCTGCATATGAAGAACTCCCTGAAGGAGAGCTGATATGTCCTGAAAGACGAGCTAGCCTATTGTCAAGTACGTAACCTTATGAGATGTTAATTCCGAGTTGGTAATGTTATTTATAGTGTGCTATTGGTAGATGCATTCCAAGTTTGTGTAGATGGATCTAAATTCTAAACAGTCACTCTAAGCTGATTAAGCTATTATTTTTCCTGTTTTTTTGCTGCTGCTGGTATTAGATGTTAGTATGTTACTTCCACTCAAGTGAAAATGATAGGATATGCTGTATTTTGGTTAGAAATCAATTTTGAAGGTAGCATAGTAAAAACCGTTCATAGTGTTTGCATGGTTAACGTATTTTGAATTGTTCCTTTTCCAGGGATACTTTTTTCTTGGATGAATCCCATTATGAAACTAGGATATGAAAGACCACTTACAGAGAAAGATATATGGAAATTAGATACATGGGAGCGGACAGAGGAATTGAATAGCAAGTATATTTGTTTCTTGTACATTTTTTTCTTTCTTTCTACTGAAAAATTATCTTGTTTCAATTTTTCTCTATAATATACCTCTTTGATCTTTAGATTCCAGAAATGTTGGGCCAAGGAGTCTGAGAAACCAAAACCTTGGCTTTTGAAAGCATTAAATGCAAGCCTTGGAGGAAGGTATTAATTAATAAGGATTTGCAAATCAATATGTTTTTTGTTTCGATACCATATTTTTCCTGTTGAAAAAGTGAAGAGAGTAGCAATAATTTGGGAAAATTGTAGGTAGATAAAGATAATATAGAGAAACAATAGGTTGAAGCATATTGTACGTAAATTTCCCCTAGCTCACTCCTTAATCAGCGGTAGATGCTAGAGAAATAACTTGATGATTTTATGTTGGTTAGTTATTTGTATTTATCTGCACTTCATTTGATTTATATTTCGTTTTGATTCTGTAGGTTTTGGTGGGGAGGCATTTTCAAGGTAATATACTTTTTTTTCCCAACAATTAGATGTCGTTGATGAATATCATTTCTAACCTGATTTGACAACTGACATAATATACAGTTCTCTTTGTAAGGATTTTGGTATCCAGCATTTGATATATATCATCAATAAGGAAAAATTTGTTTGTTTAATTTGTTGAATATGTTAGCAGTAGATTTATTTCCACATCTTGGTCAAAAGTTTGCCACATATTTGGATCCTTTGGAGTTTGCTGCATATTAAACTATTTGTGGTATCCCGATGGATATATAAAACAATTCCATTTTTAATCGGTGATTAGTTTTTTTATATATCTACTGCTGCATGAAATGATTCTTAAAATACTTATGTATCAAAAAAGATGGCGCTGTCATATCAACTATCAATGTAAGTTGATATTTAACGTCGCTGACATCTAGTGATCTGCTAGTTGCAAAGCTATGCAGTTGTTCAGACTTTTACGGCTATCCGATGTTATAGTTCCAATGTGAAATCTGTGAGAAGATATGCTTTTGATGATTGGAGTGGCACTTTAGTATGATTGAACTGTTAAGGTTAAGAATGTTACATATAATTTATTTGTTCTCCTGTTTGCAATATGTAGATTGGCAATGATCTTTCCCAATTTACGGGCCCACTTATATTGAACCAGCTTCTACAGGTTAGACACCCTTTTACTAAATTATCACTTGTGAAGTACGACTGAAACAATATTAATAGAAGATCAGCCCATAATGTATTACATACACCCGCACTGTTATTCTCTTAATACATTACTGTTATTAATGTTTAACTGTTTTCTTGATGTTAATTGACTTGTTCTATAAATTGTCTGCAGTCCATGCAAAATGGCGATCCAGCAGGAATGGGTTATATTTACGCCTTCTCAATTTTTGTTGGAGTGGTAGGATACAAATCTGATTAAGTATTTGTCTGCTGATATTTGAAGACAACAGTTTTGATGCTTAATTTCTTTATTTGCTCTGTTTGATGATATTTCGGCTCGTTTCGGATTCTAAAAATCCAACTGTAGTTCTTGTACTGTTTAGTAATTGCTTTTGGTTTTAAAGTAAACTCCTCCAGTTCTTGTACTGTTTACAAATTGTGATAAACAATAAATATGTTTTTGGTTTTTAAGTTAAATGGGCCAAACTCCATGGTGTGATCAGGTAATATATAACTTTTGGGAGATTTGACTAAGATCTATCTGAAATTTTGTTTGGCAGGTCTTTGGGGTGTTATGTGAAGCTCAGTATTTTCAGAATGTCATGCGTGTTGGTTATCGTCTGAGATCAACGCTGGTAATTCTTTCTTCTGTCCAAATAAAATTTCATGTTCAAACGCTGAGGCAAGAACTGCCTAAAGCTAAATTTTTTGAAGGGTTTAAGAGTAGCATCTTTGAAGTATAGATTGTGTAGTTCCATGCTTGGGCTGAAAATATTGCCACATCAATATTTTTGGCATTGATACACATGATGATCTTGTGCCCGGAGTAGCTCTGCATGTTTCAATTGATATTCATGCTCACTCAGTTTCACTTAACATGGTGAGTTTGGTGTTCCATTTGTCTTCCATGTAGGTGGCTGCAGTATTTCGCAAGTCTCTAAGGCTTACCCATGAAGCACGAAAGCAATTTGCATCTGGAAAAATAACCAACTTGATGACTACTGATGCTGAGTCACTTCAGGTATGGTTCTGCTTTCCTCCTTATTGTCTGATGTCTATTCTAATTGTTGCAGCTGACAGGTATGAAAGATCCACCTGACTTTAAAATTGTTAAATAAGGACGATGCTGGATTTGACTGTAACATGCATCTATAATAAATGGTTTTAGTTTAAAACATAGTAACCAATTAGATCAAACTAGACCCGACTTGAAACTGAAACTTTAATTTACACGTTCAATGGTGGCAATAGTAAAGCTACAGATTATTACTTCAATTTTATTTTAGTCAACACACAATTCTTATAGTTATCAAATAACTGTTGCTATTTTGCATACTCGAGACTTGTAATCCTACTAAACCATGGATTCTCTAGAGTGGAAGGACAAGCCAAAACTTCACTAATAGCAAGCAACCCAGTTTATTTTGAACCTGTTTTGACCGAAACAACTTTAAGTAGTTGAGGTATTCTGTTAATGAAAATAAAAATGGAAATAAAAATGGATATGTTATTACTTTGTGAAATTTTTCCTGTTGAATGGAAATGGCTGTGAAGCCCAAAATCTTTGGGATACTAGTATCATTTCACTTGTGAACAACTTGATGAAATTTTTGTACTATAGTTTTTCTCAAGAATATGTTTGACGCTGCAGTACTGCCCCGCATTTAACTTCTTCATTATTTTATTCCCTTGAACAGCAAATATGCCAATCACTTCACACTTTGTGGTCAGCTCCCTTTCGAATTACTATTGCTATGGTTCTTCTTTACAACGAACTAGGCGCTGCTTCCCTCATTGGTGCTTTGTTGTTAGTTCTCATGTTTCCATTACAGGTACAAGTGTTCACCTACTTAATTTATGCTACATTTGCGTTGTACCAATTTTTTAAGTATAAATACACTTTCAGGAAGTGTATGTAAATTTATCCAGTACACCCTATTCTATTACTTCCTCCATCTCAAAATAAAAGTCGTTTAATGTTGTTACACACAGATTAAGAAAAATAATGATTGAGTCAATAAAAGTAATATTTTTACAAAATTACCCTTAATTATTATTGGGTGATATATATTGTCATAACTTAAAAAGATTGTAGATAAGAGGTAATGTTGGTAAAAGTTAATCAATGTTGCATTGGAAAAGTAAAGAGACTATTATTTGAAGACAACTTTTTAAACCTTAAACGACTTTTATTTTGAGACGGAGGGAGTATAATGTATTCTCTTTCCTCTCTCCGTACCTTTGATTTGATTCCATTCTTCAGTCTCATCCATCAAGGTAATGAGATGTTCCGATATAAATTTACCTTTTGAAGTGCCACATACGTATCTTTCACTAGCTACTAATATAGATTAGCAATTGTGTTCTGGGCTTCTGGCATGTTACCTTTGGTCTGACATTTTCTTCAATCATATCGAAGCTTACTAAACACATGAATGATGACATGTTTTATGGATGCAGACATTAATCATCAGCAGAATGCAGAAGCTGTCTAAGGAAGGGTTACAACGCACAGACAAGAGAATTAGTCTCATGAATGAAATTTTGGCTGCTATGGACACTGTAAAGTATGTCTTTTACCACAAATGATTAACTGTTTGTTTGTATAATAATAATTTTTCTTATATATTGTTTAGTTCTAACTGTTCTTTTATTGATTATGCGGACTTGGCATATAGATGTTATGCGTGGGAGAGTAGTTTCCAGTCTAAAGTAACAAATGTACGAAATGATGAATTATCATGGTTCCGAAAAGCATCATTACTTGGAGCGGTATGGAATGATACTAACTCAAGATATTTATGTTCCGATCATTATTTGTTTTGAATCTTACTTTGCTTCCTTGAGTAACATAGCCTTAGGAGTGTAAGGATGTTTCTTTATCTTCCTGGTATTGCTTCTTAACTTCATCCCTTTATTGAATTCTTCGTGGCAGTGTAATTCATTTATCCTAAATAGCATTCCAGTTTTTGTAACTGTGATTTCCTTTGGAGTGTTCACCTTGCTTGGAGGGGATTTGACACCTGCAAGAGCTTTCACATCACTTTCTCTGTTTGCTGTTCTTCGATTTCCTCTCTTTATGCTTCCTAATATTATAACTCAGGTTATTCTCTCTTTACCTCTCTGTTTTTCTTTATTTCTTATAACAGCTTATCCTAAATAACAGAACCAGAGTTAATCTGTTTAAAATTACCATAAAAAGGAAAAAATAAAGCTTGCTTAGATTTATCATTGTCTTCTTAAATTAATGAAAATTAATGAATGAACGCCAAACCAAATAGATTGGTGGAGTTCATGCTGCTGATTCTTCATTTTATTATAAAGGTGGTTAATGCAAATGTATCGTTGAAACGTCTGGAGGAGTTGCTCTTAGCTGAAGAGAGGATACTTCTACCAAATCCACCTCTTGAACCAGGGTTACCAGCCATCTCAATCAAGAATGGAAACTTTTCTTGGGATGCAAAGGTCCACAATCTTTTTGTCATTACACATGCTTGTATATTTCATCATTATGTACTCATGCATATATACATACTACTTGCATAAAAGACATCTGTTCATTAGGTCTTTCAGTGAAAAACAAATATTTGTGTTTTGCATTGTGTTTCACCTACTTGCTTTCTGTCATTTTTTCATCTTGTCGAGACTGAATTGAAATTGGTTGTTGTATTAAAATTATATCTTCCAATAAGCATGGTATGGAAGAAATTTTCATTTGATAACTCATGGAGCTCTAATATCCATCGTGAGAAATTATGTAAAGAAATTATATCAACAATGTAAAATATTCAATAGATGAAGAAAGAGAACAATATAGAAAAGAGTGAATTTCAATCTACCCCAGAGCAAAGCTCCTCAGAGGAGATAACTCTCTCTTCCTAACCATAACAGTTCATCCACTATTCTAACATAATGGATACAATTCACTAACATCACTATTTATACTACTGAGGCATAACTAACATGCCAACTAAGAATCCTAACTCACTCTTTATTTATCATATATCCTTACCACACTCATTATTACATAATACTTCCTTTTTCCTTATGACCCATACTTGCTTTTGAATTTTCTCAAAAAAGAATCTCTAATATTTTTCACCCTTCAGGTAGAGAGCCCAACATTGTCAAACATAAATTTGGATATTCCTGTTGGTAGCCTAGTTGCTGTTGTTGGAAGCACGGGAGAAGGGAAGACATCACTCATATCTGCAATGCTTGGAGAGCTTCCTCCAATTGCGGAGTCAACTGTTGTCATGAGAGGAACAGTAGCTTATGTACCTCAAGTTTCATGGATTTTTAATGCAACTGTAAGTTAGTGATATGCTCCATTCAGTGTGGCTTGCATTATAGAAATAATTAATTGGTTATTATTAATCCACAAAGTTGGGAATTGGATCTTGTTTGTCTTTCGATCATCATCATGTTTTGTACATTATAAAATTAACCGGATGCTATTTACCATGAAGGTGTATCCTATTTTCTGTTCGATCATTTTTCATTTTCTTTTCAAATGGGGAGGTGATTGATAACTTCATTTCTACAGGTACGGGATAACATTTTGTTTGGTTCTGCTTTTGACCCAATAAGATATGAAAGGGCAATAAATGTGACTGAACTGCAACACGACCTAGAGTTACTATCTGTGAGTATATACCCGAGTGTTGTAGAATTTGATTGGATACAATGGGTGTTTAGTTTAAGTATTTTATTTACAACTTGGTATCCCTACTCTTTCTTTCTTTGACATGCTTAATAACTAGGGCGGTGATCTTACTGAAATTGGTGAAAGAGGAGTAAACATCAGTGGTGGTCAGAAGCAAAGAGTATCTATGGCTAGAGCTGTCTACTCCAATTCTGATGTGCTCGTCTTTGATGACCCCCTAAGTGCTCTGGATGCACATGTGGCTAGACAGGTTACCTTCATGCTTAGTGATCAAAATTGCTTAATGTTATTTATCTTCCTTTGGTGTTCAAAACTCATATAAATCAAACTTATTCTGTTCATGGTGATCTTTTTTTGGTCATCTTATGCTTGCAAATCAGATACTATCTTAACATTGTCTAATGTACACTTAAATATCATCTCAGGTTTTTGATAAATGCATCAAGGGAGAATTGAGAGGGAAGACTCGAGTTCTTGTTACAAATCAGCTGCATTTCCTTTCACAGGTTGATAGAATCATTTTGGTCCATGAAGGTATGGTGAAGGAGGAAGGGACTTTTGAAGAGCTCTCTAGCCAGGGGTTTCTCTTCCAGAAGCTGATGGAAAATGCGGGAAAAATGGAAGAGTACGAAGAAGAAAAGGTAGATATTGAAGATACTGATCAAAAGTCCTCTTCAAAACCAGTGGTCAATGGAGCAGTTAATGATAATTCAAAGAGTGAAAGTAAACCCAAAGGAGGAAAGTCTATCCTTATTAAAAAGGAAGAACGGGAAACAGGTGTTGTCAGTTTGAATGTTCTAATCAGGTAACAAGACTAATGAATAAGTATAACATCAATGAAAGTATTGATGTCACACTCACATTCATATGTGAAATGACTTATTCTCCATGCTGCTTTTCTGCTCTTACATACTAGCATTAGACTGTTCACTTTTTTGATTAAAAAAATAAGACAATTGTATATTATTGAAAATAATCAGTTATTTGATTAGATAAATAAGGAAAAGATTGTAAATAAAATAATTTAATTTAGGGTTGTAAGATTAGAGAAAATTGTTTCATTCCTTTGAAAAGTGGTTACACTGAAATCTGATTCAGTACAACTAACTCGTATAGGGACTTATATAGCTAGCCTAACCTTTAGTTGCCTTTACCTACACTCAGTCATAACTAACTTTTGGTTTGTTATGCTGATGTGGCAACTGAAGGGAGAGGAAGCTTCTATAGGAAGAGAGATGCTACTAGAAGGTACTAGAGCTATATATCTCTCACAAGAGTTAAATTGGAAGAAAAAATGCTATATATAACTTGGTATCAACTTTACATGTAGGTATATATACTTTTAAAAAACAATCATTTAATTGGTTGGATGAAGGATAAAATCATAGTAGTTTAAATGAAGGATACAATTAGAAGGAAAAAACCGCTAGACAAAAAATTGACATTCCCTTTATATTTAGGTCTAGATAATCATGATAATGAACATCTATAATATAGTGAAATATGGTGTTTCTTATCATATATCTCTTGGGCTTTCTGTATATTTATGTGGTCTTTATTCTTATTGTCACGTGGGTCCTTTTAGGTACAAAAATGCATTAGGAGGCGCTTGGGTTGTTCTAGTACTATTTGGATGCTATTTCTCAACTGAAGCATTACGAGTGTCAAGTAGCACATGGTTAAGCCACTGGACTGATCAGAGTACTGTAGAGGGTTATAATCCTGGTTTCTACAATCTCATATATGCAGTTCTATCATTTTGTCAGGTATAATAATTCTCTTATAAAATGGCAAGTAGTCACATTGTGTTGCTGCCAATCATTTTGTTCAAAATAATGAACATAGCTTTGTGCACGCACAGAGTAGATACTAATTTGGAATTGTCCTTGTCCTTGCCAGGTTTTGGTGACTCTAACAAATTCTTACTGGTTAATCATATCAAGTCTTTATGCTGCCAGAAGGTTACACGAAGCCATGCTTCACTCCATCTTACGAGCTCCCATGGTCTTTTTCCACACAAATCCACTCGGAAGGGTCATCAACAGATTTGCAAAGGATCTTGGTGACATTGATCGTAATGTGGCTCCATTCGTGAGCATGTTTTTAGGTCAAATATCCCAGCTTCTTTCGACCTTCATCCTGATAGGGATTGTAAGCACAATGTCCCTGTGGGCAATAATGCCATTGCTGGTATTATTCTATGGAGCATATCTATACTACCAGGTATAATAAGCATTGTGTTCGTGCGTGTATTTGTTGAACTCCTGAACATTGTGTTGTAATTATAATTGTAGATTATAAATCAAATGATTTGTTTGTTGTTAGAGCACTGCTCGTGAGGTAAAGCGATTGGATTCAGTTAGCAGATCTCCTGTTTATGCACAATTCGGGGAAGCACTAAATGGTCTAGCAACAATTCGTGCTTACAAAGCTTATGATCGAATGGCCGATATAAATGGGAGATCCATGGACAACAACATTCGGTTCACGCTGGTGAACATAAGCGGAAACCGGTGGCTTGCAATACGATTGGAAACCCTAGGAGGCCTTATGATATGGTTCACTGCAACTTTCGCCGTGATGCAGAATGGCAGGGCAGATAACCAGCAAGAATTTGCATCCACCATGGGATTACTTCTCAGTTACGCTTTGAATATTACCAGCTTGCTCACTGGTGTGCTCAGACTTGCAAGTTTGGCCGAGAATAGTTTAAATTCAGTTGAGCGCGTTGGAACTTACATCGATTTGCCTTCAGAGGCTCCTTCTGTTATTGACCATAATCGCCCTCCCCCTGGGTGGCCTTCCTCAGGCTCCATCAAATTCGAAGAAGCTGTTCTTCGCTACAGACCCGAACTTCCTCCTGTGCTTCATGGCCTATCTTTTAAAATTTCTCCAAGCGATAAGGTTGGCATTGTTGGGAGGACTGGAGCGGGAAAGTCCAGCATGCTAAATGCCCTGTTTCGAATCGTGGAATTGGAAAAAGGGAGAATATTAATTGATGATTATGATATTGCAAAGTTTGGGCTTGCTGATTTGCGGAAAGTTCTTGGCATTATACCACAATCTCCTGTTCTCTTTTCAGGTATTTAAGATATCATCTCTTATGTTATTATCTTTTAGTAAGATAGTCCAATTAGAAAGGGATAAGGGCTAAGAATTAATACATTTTCATGAAAGTTAATTAAAAAATTCAGTATGATTGGAAACTGCAACTCTTGCTTGGTGAGCTTCTTGACCTCATAAATGCTCATGTGGTTAGGCTAGGCTCAACCTTATTCTCTATTGGGATTTATTTGGTTAATTTTGTATAATTCTTAAGTTGAGTTGTTGAAACATTAGATCTTTTGCTTCTGAGTTGGTGTCTTTGTAGCTAAATAAAATTAAAATATGAAGATCAAACTGTTACGACATTCTTGTCTATTACTTTTTATAGGAACTGTGAGATTTAATCTTGATCCATTTACTGAACACAATGATGCTGACCTCTGGGAGGCTCTGGAGAGGGCACATTTGAAGGATGTGATACGTAGGAATTCTTTGGGTCTGGATGCCGAGGTAATTGCTAAATCATGCTTTGTTAGAGACATGATTATTATGACTTGTTTTCACCCCTAACTTGTGGTTGCATTCAATTATTATGAGACTTTGTGCTACTTTTCATTAATTAAAGTATGCTGTGTCAAGGTATCTGAGGCAGGTGAGAACTTCAGTGTTGGACAAAGGCAACTGTTGAGTCTTGCCAGGGCTTTGTTGCGGAGATCAAAGATTTTAGTACTTGATGAGGCAACTGCTGCGGTTGATGTTAGAACAGATGCACTCATACAGAAAACAATCAGAGAGGAATTTAAATCCTGTACAATGCTCGTTATTGCTCATCGCCTCAACACCATCATTGATTGTGATCGGATTCTTTTGCTTGATGGAGGCAAGGTATGTACTCAATGGTCAAAGTTCAGACCATATAGCTGGCTAACTCATATAATTGGTTAAAATCCTTCGGCACTGGTGTAGCTTGTACTAAAGTGACAATATTAAATAGCTCTTATAATGCAATGTTAGTTTTTATTGAAAAATTGGTTTTTGTTTGGTTGGCATCATGGATCTAATGATTCAGGAGCTGAAAGTTTTTTGGTAAAAAGAATTGAAATTTTGAAAAAGTAATTGTTATGAATGCAGAAAGGCCTTAAAGTTGACTCTAAACCCCCTAAACTGATGTTGATTTGATTCAATGCGGCACTGATACTAACTTTATTTTTGAAAGGTTCTTGAGTATGATACCCCTGAGGAGCTTCTGGCAAATGAAGGTAGTGCTTTCTCCAAGATGGTGCAAAGTACAGGAGCTTCAAATGCCCAATACTTACGCAGCTTAGTACATGGTGGGGACAAGACAGAAAGAGAGGGGAACAAACATCTGGATGGTCAGAAAAAATGGCTAGCTTCTTCTCGGTGGGCTGCTGCAGCCCAGTATGCTCTTGCTGTCAGTCTCACTTCGTCACAGAATGACCTACAACGATTGGAAGTAGAAGATGAAAATAGTATTCTCAAAAAAACAAAGGATGCTCTGCTAACTTTGCAGGGTGTTTTGGAAAGGAAACATGATAAAGAAATTGAGGAATCTTTAAACCAACGCCAAATATCCTCTGACGGATGGTGGTCATCGCTTTACAAGATGATTGAAGGTATAGTTTTGTTGCATCTTTTACAAAATCTTACTTTGCACATAGATTACATAATCTTAATTTTCTTTTTAATATAATCAAGATTATACAGAAATAGCGGACAAACGAGCAACAAACTGCGTCATTACCCCTAAAACAGACCCAAAAAAAGAAAAACAATAACAATAAATTATTCCCATCCAACATGAGTTTTCCTGGGATAGTTTACAAATTCTGCTGATGACAGACCAGCATTTGAAAGAATGGCTATTATTTTTACATTCTATTTATGTGACTAGAAGAACTCTTCTGCCTTTGTATCAGGTCTTGCTATGATGAGCAGATTGGCAAAGAACAGTCTCCATCATTCAGACTACGGTTTTGAGGACAGATCAATTGACTTCGATCAAATCGATATATAGGAAATGCTGCACTATTTATAGATAACATGGTTTCTTGAGCTTTGGCGATGTAGCTTACAACCAGCTATTGAAGACTTTGTTCAAATTGATAAATTTACTCCTACTCGAGGCTTTGCTTTGGCGTGTAGCTTACATCCAAGCTATGACTAAAAGTATAATAATTCCCATTTCTTCTAATAATTAGAAGAAAATCAACTAGCTTTTTGGATTCATACTATTGAGCCTTTTAGAATTTTAAGTTAGTTAGTCTTTTAGCGTTGTACTATATATTTTTTCTGTAATCATTATTTTTATTAATTATGTTATTCATATAATTAAAACTTAAGTCTCTTTATCCTTCCTCTGTTTTGGTATTTCTCCTGTTATATATTTTCTGGTTGTAGATTTTGACAGCTGTTCATTTACTGTGATATGTGATTTCTTTTATTACATTATTTTTTTTAGCAAATTTTCAAAAACATTGAAACAAATGATCAAGCGTTTATGAATTTAATTTTCCCATAACGGAACCTTTTATTAGGTGTATTTGATTCAAACGACTTTAGGAGAGGTTAGGAATTTAATTAGATCTTTTGTTTGGTTGAACGGTGAGAAAAGATAGCCTTCTCTTGAGTGCCAACATTTATTTGAATATGTTCCCTACATAAATACTATTTGAGACAAATACCTAAAATGGTGTTACATTCTTATAAAAATAAAATTGAATGATGTTACATTTTCATACAATGATTCCTTCTTTACTGGCCGGTTAAAGCTACCTGCTATTAAGTGAGACTATTTAATAAAAGAAAAATATAAAAAAAAAAGGATTAAGTGTGTTCTTTTTTTTTTCTTCTCATTGGGCCAATTCCATGTCACGAAAAAACAAAGAGAATTTTTTAATGTATTCTATGGGTGAAAAAACACTTTATGAAAATTCGAAAATGATTCTAGATTTTGGTAATATATCTTTGGGTGCATCATTTTCACAGTAAACCACGTTTTAAGTGAGATTCACTTCTAAATTCATTTGTGAATGAAAAAATAGTTCAAAAATATACTTTTAGAAAAAATTCGAAAATATATTTTCAAAACAAAAGAGAAAGTAGGAAGTGTATGGCGGTAGTAGGACTCATTCCCTTTGTTGGTCTATCGCTTGTAAAGAATTTCAGGTAGTTCTCTAAGTCTTATTTTGTGAGAACATAAAATCATTTATTTTGTAGAAAATATCACTGCATTAGAAATCACTGATTTCTATGATAAAGAGAAGATTAAGCATAATTTATTAAATATGTATCAACTTATTTTAGTACATGAGTCTCTTATATATAGAGAACTTATATTGTTGTTTATACATCATCCTATAATCATTCAATTGTGTTTCTTCTCATTTCTATACTATTCTCTTATATTTTAGCTGTGTTATAATTATTTCATGTTGTTCTGATACCCAACAGTGGTATCAGAACATTTGGTGTTGGTCCATATTTTGCTGCAAATATTATTCACGGTAAAATTGTGCGACGGCAAAATTTGAGATTGAGAAGTTCAATGGGAGTAATTTCTCCCTGTGGAAATTGGAGATAAAGGCAATCCTGAGGAAGGGTAATTGTTTAGCAGCAATTAAAAATAGAACTGAGGGAATATTTGATGAGAAGTGGAATGAGATGGATAACAACGTTGTTGCCAACTTGCACTTAGCATTGACGGATTCAGTTTTGTCTAGCGTTGCCGAAAAGAAAATTGCAAAGGAGATTTGGGATGTTCTCATCAAATTGTACGAGGTCAAGTCACTTCACAATAAAATTTTCTTAAAGAGAAGACTCTACGCTCTTCGAATGAGTGAATCTACATCCGTGACAAATCACATCAACACTCTTAATACGATGTTTGCTCAACTTACATCGACAAATTTCACCATAGCAGAAAATGAACGTGCAGAACTTCTACTTCAGAGCTTACCAGATTCATATGATCCACTTGTCGTCAACTTAACAAATAATAATGTTACAGACCGTCTATACTTTGATGATGTTGTCGGAGCTATTCTTGAGGAGGAGTCCAGGCGTATAAATAAGGAAGACCGTCAAGAAAACTCAAAACAAGTAGAAGCTTTGACAATGACAAGAGGCAAATCAGTGGAACGTGACCCCAGTGGGAGCCAAAATCATGGTAGATCAAAATCTCGAAGTAAGATGAATGTGAGATGCTACAATTGTGGCAAGAAAGGGCACTTGAAAAGAGATTGTTGGTTTAAGAAGAATGGTGAGAAGTCTTCAGAGGCAAGTTCATCTCAAAGATGTATTGCTAATACCTCTGATGATGTAGAGATTCTATATAGCGGAGCAACAACTAATTCCAAAGGTAGTAAACAACTCACTGATGTTTGGATAATTGATTCAGGAGCAACATGGCACATGACTCCTTGATGAGATTGGTTTTACACTTATCAACCCATCTCATAAGGATCAGTGTTCATGGGAAACAATTACGCCTTATAAATTGTTGGTGTTGGTATTGTGAAAATAAAAATGTATGATGGTACAGTTCATACAATTTAAGAGGTGAGACATGTGAAAGGGTTGAAGAATAATTTATTGTCTATTGGACAATTAGATGACCTCGGGTGCAAGACCCATATTGAAGGTGGGATCTTGAAAGTGGTGAGAGGTGCTCTAGTAGTGATGAAGGAAGAAAAGTTATCTGCAAATCTGTACATTCTTATGAGAGAGACGTTGCAAGAAGGTGATGTGTCAATTGCATCAACTAGTCAAGGAAACTCAACGACAATGTGGCATCGCAGACTGAGCCACATGTTAGAACGAGGCTTGAAAGTTCTTGCGGAAGTGATCTCTTACCCGGGCTCAAATCAGTAAGTCTACCTTTCTGTGAGAATTGTGTAGTAAGTAAACAAAATAGGTTGAAGTTTGATAGATCAACTACTAAGAGCAAACACATACTTGACTGGATTCATTCTGATGTGTGGGAGTCGCCGCAAATGTCCATAGAAGGAGCAAAATATTTTGTATCATTCATTGATGATTACTCTAGGAGATTGTGGGTATACCCAATCAAGAATAAGTCAGATGTGTTTTCAATGTTCAAGCAATTCAAAGCACTAATTGAGCTTGAAACTGGAAAGAAGATTAAGTGCTTGAGGATAGACAATGGAGGAGAATATACAAATAGTGATTTTTTTGGCATTTTTCAAGGAAGAGGGTATAATGAGACAATTTACAGTTGCTCATACGCCTCAGTAGAATGGTGTAGCAGAGTGGATGAACAGAACTCTCCTAGAAAGGACTAGAGCTATGTTGCGAACTGCAGGATTAGCTAAGTCATTCTAGGCAGAAGTCGTGAAAACTGCATGTTATGTGATAAATAGATCGCCATCAAGTGAAATTGGTTTAAAGACTCTGTTGGAGATGTGGAAAGGAAAGCCAGCTGAGTATTCTACTCTACATGTGGTTGGATGTCCTGTGTATATGATGTACAACTCCCAAGAAAGAACTAAGCTGGATCCAAAATCCAGGAAATGCATATTCTTAGGATATGATGATAGTGTTAAGGGGTATCTCTTGTGGGATCCCACTTCTCGCAAGGTTATTGTCAGCATGGATGTAATTTGCAGAGAATGAACTGCAAAGGGAACAGGAAAATGATAGTACTTCTAAAGATATCACTACTTTTCATATAGATGGAAAGTCTGTAGAAGATGATTCTTTTGAAGCAGAACTAGAGCACGAGGTACAAGAACTAGAGGAACCTGACAGTGTTGAAGTTCGACGACCAACACATAAGAAAAGGAAACCAAATTGGCAGTCAGACTATGTTATGGCAAGCCATGATGCATATTGTCTTCTAATAGAAGATGGAGAACCATCAACCTTTCAAGAGGCTGTGAGTTGCTCAAGTGATTCTCTGTGGATGGCAGCAATGCAGGAAGAAATGGAAGCCTTACATAGAAACAAGATATGGGATCTTGTTGTACTTCCAGAGGATCAGAAAGCCATCAACAACAAATGGGTCTATAAGATTAAGCGTGATGGTAATGATCAAGTGGAAAGATATCGTGCAAGACTTGTGGTTAAAGGATATGCTTAAAAGGAAGGAATTGATTTCAATGAAATATTTTCTCCGGTGGTTAGACTTACCACTATCAAAGTAGTGTTAGCTATGTGTGCTGCTTATGATTTACATTTTGAACAATTGGATGTAAATACTGCTTTTCTTCATGGACAACTTAAAGAAGAAATATATATGCTACAACCAGAAGTTTTTGAAGAAAAAGGAAAAGAAAACTTGGTTTGCAGGTTAACCAAATCTCTGTACGGTTTAAAGCAGGCGCTGAGGTGTTGGTACAAGAGATTTGATTCTTTCATTATTAGCCTTGGATATAACAAGTTGAGCTCAGATAATTGTACATATTACAAGAGGTTTGAGGAAAATGATTTCATCATTTTGTTGTTGTATGTGGATGACATGTTGGTGGTAGGCCCCAACAAAGATCAAATCCAAGAATTGAAGGCACAATTGGCTAGGGAGTTCGATATGAAGGACTTGGGGCCAGCAAACAAGATTTTAGGGATGCAAATTCACTGAGATATAAAAGATAGGAAGATTTGGATTTCTCAAAGAAATCATCTACGAAAAGTTTTGCAGCTCTTCAACATGCAAGACTGTAAGCCAATATCTACCCCACTTCCTATCAATTATAAATTATCCTAAAGTATGAATCCTAGCAATGAAGCGGAGAGGATGGAAATGTCTCGAGTATCCTATGCATCAGTGGTGGGAAGCATTATGTATGCCATGATATGTACAAGGCCAGACATTGCACAAGCAGTGGGAGAGGTCAGTCGGTTTATGGCAGATCCTGGTAAAGAGAATTGGAATGTTGTGAAGATGATCCTGAGATACATTAAAGGAACCTCGGATTTTGCATTATGTTTTGGAGGATTGGAGTTTGGTGTCAGAGGATATGTTGATTCAGATTATGCAGGTGATCTTGACAAAAGAAA